AGAGACTGGATGTGGCATCAGTGCCATGGGCTGGGAACCACAGCGGGGTTGGATCAAGGGTTGGACTTGATGATCTCAGAGGTCCCTTCCAACCCAGCTGACTCTGTGATTCTATGAAATGTTGCCACCTCTCAGGCAGAGAGGTTCCCTTAATTAAAGAGAAGCTGGAGTCTGGGCTTTAACTGGACATCACTGTCTGTGCTGATGTGCTTTTGTTTCAGTGTTGAGGCACAGAATTGATTAGGTTGGAAAAGAACTCTGAGATCGAGTCCAGCCTTTGACTCTTGGCCTTGTTGTTCCTCTGTCGTGCTTCCATCCCCCTCAGGAGCCAAGCTTGGAACTGCAAGTGTCTTGGTAGATCCAAGGTTGATCCAAGCCCTGTCCAACGTGGCCTTGGACACTTCCAGGGATGGGGCAGCCACAGCTTCTCTGGGCAACCTGTGCCAGGGCCTCCCCACCCTCCCAGGGAACAGTTTCTTCCCAATATCCCAAGTGTCTTGGAGTTCCAGGGTTGTTCAGAGTTGGCTTTGCTGTCTCCTGGCAGCCAGCAGCTGTCCTACAAGGGTATGAACTTTTTTTCTGTCCTGAAGAGCTCATTGTCAGCACAAAGCTTCTTCATTCCACCCTGGCTCCCTTTGGGAGAGGAGAGGCTTTTTGCATCTCTGTGCTGCCCCTGGAAGCTGCAGGTGTTAAGAGCAGGAAGGTGGGAGTTGATCCCAGTGCTGGTTCTAACACTGGTTGTGTCTTGCTTTGTGACTTTGCTTTTGCTGGGCCATAAAATCTGTTCCTGTTCTGGAGTGCTGTGGTTTGGTGCTTACAAATATCTGTCAGGGTTGTGTTTCACAGCTTCCTCAACCTCTTCATTGCATTTAATATGATGTGTTGAGCCTTTGTTATTGCAGTATAAATAATTCTGGAGCGTTGTGGTTGGCAGAATCCTAAAATCATGGAATGGTTTGGGTTGGAAGGGATCTTAAAGCTCATCCAGTCCCACCCCCTGCCGTGGGCAGGGACACCTTCCACCAGCCCAGGTTGATCCAAGCCCTGTCCAGCCTGTCCTTGGACACTTCCAGGGATCCAGGGGCAGCCACAGCTTCTCTGGGCACCCTCCCCACCCTCCCAGGGAACAATTCCTTCCCAATATCCCATCTAACCCTCCCCTCCTTCAGCTTTAGGCCATTCCCCCTTGCCCTTGTGAAAAGTCCCTCTCCAGCTCTCTTGGAGCCTCTTGGAGTACTGGAAAAGTGGTGCTGCAAAGGAGAAATGCCTGTTCTGGGTCTTCTGCTTCCCAACTCCTGCCTTGCTGGGCAGAAAAGGCTCCTCAGCTGTCCCTTTCTTTGCCCTGCTTAGGTTTTTGCAGGGGCCAGCTCTGCAGGGTGCAGCCCTCCCTCAGCTCCTCCTGGCAGGGACAAAGATCCCTCTGTCTGCCCTCAGTTATATTTAGGGCATTTAGATGAAAACAGCGACTCAGATTAAATTGAAAGGGGTTGGTGAAATAAAAAAGCTCTTCCAGTGGAAGGATGAGGGAGGGTGAATCAGCCTCAGATGGATTCAAAGGGTTCCTGATGGCAAATCAAGGACAAGCAAATTTTTCAAGGCTTGATAGGAGATCCTGGTTAATTGTCCAGGTGATGGGCTGGGGAGCAGCTTCCTGGTGAATTCCTGGTAAATCCCAGAGTTTGGCCTCCTGCTGAGACCTGTTTTATCCCACTTTTCTAACTCATGGGAGTTCTCCAGCTCTGCCCAGCACAGACCAAGCAGTGCAGTTTGAGTAAATACCTGCCTGTCGTGGCCAGGGCTTCTGGAACCAGTGGAATTTGTATCCAGAGCCATAATGGGGGAGGTTTCTGGACACTCTCCAAAATTTCGTGTCTGCAGAACAGCTCTGAAGGAACTTCTGCTTTTTCTTCACTTGTGGAACAAAACTCTGACTCTAATTACAGTCACATCCAGGATGTTAACAGGATATTCAGTACTGATCTTAAGGATTTAGGTTTGCCCAATAACTTGGAGGAGCTCAGCCCATTTTTGGACAGAGGGAGAGGGAAATCAATCTGAATTTTACCCCATTTGTTCCCTGAAATCCCTGTATTTTCATCTGGGTTTTTTTGTATTTCATAACCTCCAATTTTACATATTTAAACACTTTGTTATTATTTGAACATTAACCAGTCAAGAAAGACTAAATTATTTGTAAGTTAGCAATATCCAAATAAATGAAACTATTTTTTTATTTGGAGGTAAATCAAATAGAAGTGTAGAATATTCCTGGTTTTAACATCAAACTGCCACTGGAGCACCCTGAGGGATTTTTTTCTACAGCCTCATATCCAGGATGGCACCATCCTTGATTTTCTGTGCCTTAATCCAAACCTGTCTCACAGAAGAAGGGGTGAGGAAGGAGCCAAAAAATTTCATTTTACATGGAATAGCTGCTGTGAGAACCTTGTGCTCCTGGGTAGGTGAACTTAAAAGTTATTTTTAAACATCAGATATCAGGGCTGGAAAAAAAACTTGGTTGGCAAAGCTGCTCTGTTCCTTGGGGATCTCTGTGCACAGGAATTCATGTGGGTCATGGGGAATAATCCATTTAACCAGACAGATTATTAGATTTACAGTGGGAGCAAACAGTTGGCTCTTTCCCTAAATCTTATCAGTCGTGCCTGGGAGCTGAAATGGGCTCCCCTGAAGGGTTGGTTTTCCTCTGGATGGGCTTAAAAATTCCCTTTTCCTGCTGTTCTCTTTGTTTTGTGGGACTTGGAGTCTCGGGCTGCAGGGTTTGTAGGGAAAGAAAACTGTTCATCTGCTCTGACAGAGCTGGAAAACGAATGGAGGAGAAGAATTGGGTTAATTTGGGTTTATTGTGTTGCCTCAGGTGCTGCAGGAGTGAGTCAGGGCACAGGAATTAGTGGCAAAGGATGTGCTTAAGTACCTGCTGGGGGATAATTTATGGCCATCCAGCTTAAAACTTGGAGGAATGTGCTCTGATCTCCTTCCTGAGAGTGTTTTTAATCTATATATCCAAACATCTTTAAGCTTATAGGAATATAAAGGAGTATTTTTAAAGGAATTTCTGCAGTTCTGTAGTGTAAATACATAAAAGCATCCTGTTGGCCGAGATGTTCTTCATTCCAGGTTATTTTGGGATGTGCTTTAGGGTGTCCTGCCACAAACCAGCATCCAGCACCTGAAGTTGTCTCCATCTCCCCCTTTTTACTGGAATAACTGGGAGTAGGAGATGCTAAAAATGCCAGGAGTGTGAAATTATTCTCCCAGCCACGTGAAACCTGTTCTCTGCTTCTCGTTTTGCTGGCTCAGTGATTTCTTGTTTTCATGGTCAGGGAAGAGAGTTGCTCCTCATGCTGGTGGCTGTGGGCACCTCAGAGGGGTTTTTTTGGGCCCTTCCAGCAAAATTAAAATGGAATTCCCCCCCAGACTGGGGTTAAAGTCCAAGTTGTGTCCAGGACAGCAGAGTTTGGTGTCGATCACTTCTCTTCCACGGGATTCTCTCTGTTGCTGGTGCCTCAGATCCCCATGGAAACAGGATAAACTGGCAAGATTTCAGAAGAATTGGGTGGGGGAAGTGTGTGTAAAACAAACAAGAAAAAAAGATTCTAAGTAAGATCTGGGGGTATAAATGTTCCTCAGATTAATAGGGAGGCATGAAATGAGCTCCCATGTGTAATAAATGCAGTGACTGTCAGACTTCAGTGAGTCACAGGCTGTTCTTGGAAGGCAAAGTATCCAATTGGGGCAGGAAAAGACTGGCCTTCAGTCACAGGAGGAGTTTGGGTAAAAAAGGGACTAAATTGGGTTGGTTTTCAGCCCCTCAGTTAACTGAGCAAACAGTGATTAAACTGCCCCGAGCCTGGGAAAAATAGGACAAGGCCCTCTTGGGATGGAGCAAAGAAATGCTTTGGAGTGCCTTGGAAATGAGGAATTATCTGTTGGTTTAGTAAAGTGGCACATTCAGCAGAGACTCCACTTGTCTCATTGTAGGTCAAGATCTCCTTGATCCTTGGTTTTCATTTTTATTCCCTGGGTTGGTGTCTGCAGCCCCTGGGAAGTGGCAGGGCTTTAACTCCAATATTTGCCTTCCTGACATCCAGGTGGCCAAGTGGGAAGCTTTGGTGTTTGATAAAGGGCCTTTTAGTGCAGGAAAACAGGGCTGGAGTTCCTTGAGAGCAGCTGGATGCTCCCAGCTCTGTGAGGATTGTTTGCAGCAGCCTGACCTGGGGAGAACCAGCTGGAAAATTCTTGGAATCCCCCGTGAGTCAGAGGTTTTCCCCACGTTAATGCTCAGCAGGATGGAGCTGCAGAGATGGTGCTTCAACATCTCAAGGACACTGAGGGCAGGGGAAACCAACCAAAGGGTGGGCAAGGAGTGCTTCCTCTTTGGAAGAGGTTCCTGGCAGCAGCAGGACCAGTTGCTGGGGTGTTGGGGGGGGTGTTGGTTTTCTCCCCCGTCTCCTGGAGACAGCTCTGGCTTCCTCCTTTGTTTACAGTGGCTGCTGTGAGTCAGCTCCTGGGGGATGTTGCAGCCCTGCACATCCCCTTCTGCTCAGCCAGGTTTGGGGGCAGGAGTGGCTTCCTGAGAGCTCTGAGGGTGGTCAGGAGATCTGGTCAAGAAAAATGACTGAAGGATTGGTAATTATCACCCTCTGTTATGAGCCAAAGATGGTACTTTAAATTGTCTCTTCAGTTCAAAGCCTTTCTTTCCTTATTTTAGCAGCCATGTGTGGAATTCTAACACTGATCTTGCACACCCAAAGGGGACTCCCATCTTCCTTGGAAGGGAAGGAAGGAGGTTTCAAACTGGCCCTTCCCAGCAGGGTTGGTAAGAAGTGCTGTCCCAGCAGTGCAACTGTGCAATAAGAAAATAACCAAACAAAATCCTTCTTGTAGCTTTTGGTTGGATTTAAAGAAAGTCACAGCCGAGCCTGTCACAGCCATCTGTTCTCCTGGCTGGGAACTCAGGTTGTTGTGCTGCCTTTTTCTTGGCAGTAGTGGCTCGTGTAGTGCTTCCTGCTCCTGGGAATCTGGCAGCATGGATGTCTGGGGAACAGCAGCAGGAGAGGCTGGTGCAAGATGGGACAGGTATAAGCTGAAGAATTCCAGTTATTCTGTGATACTGGGACACTTGTTGGAAGTTTTATTCTCAGCTAGGCTAAAACTCAAAGGTTCTTGGTACAGAGTAAGAAATTTGGAGTCAGTGCTCCATGTGTGGGTGCATCCCTGCTCCAGCAGCTCTGTGACAGCACTTACCTGGGACGCTTTTTGGAAGTTTTCTTCTAAACTGGGCTAAAACTCCAAGGTTCTTGGCACAGAATAAGGAATTTGGAGTCAGTGGACACAGACCCCCGTCTGGGTGCATCCCTGTGGGATCAGCCTTGCAGGTGGTGCTGTGTGGGAGACCCCAGAACTTCCCTGAGGGGTTTGAGTGGTTCTGGCTTGAGTTCTGCTGCGTTTTGGCCCGTGGGGACCTGCCCAGCCGTGTCTGTGTTTGCCCTCAGGAGGTGGACGTGGTGGTGGCTCCGTGCCGGGGCTTCCAGCCGGCCGAGGACACCCTGGGCGAGTTGGTGAACCAGGTGCTGCCCGTGGTGACCTTCGCCATCAGCGAGGCCCAGCTGTCCCCCTCGGACCAGAGCGAGCTGAGAACCATCAAGGAGAAGTTCTCCCTGCCCATTTTCTTCTTCCGCGTGCCCGAGGCCGGCGGGGAGCTGATCTCCCCCAAAAAACCGGACAGCGACAAGTCCCCCCTGCACTGCCAGCTGCTGGACCTGCAGTACCTGAGCTCCAACCACTGCAGCTGCGGGGACAGCGGGGCCCAGAGCATGCTGGTGGAGCAGCTGGACAAGCTGAGGCTGCTGAGCACCTTCTCCAGGCAGGTGCTGCAGAAGCACTTGGTGGAGGCGGCCACGAGCCTGAACGAGCTGCACTGTCGCTGCCTCAACATCTTCATCAACCAGGCCTTCGACATGCAGAGGGACCTGCAGATCACGCCCAAGAGGCTGGAGTACACCAGGAGGAAGGAGAACGAGCTCTACGAGTCCCTCATGGGCATCGCCAACCGCAAGCAGGAGGAGATGAAGGACATGATCGTGGAGACGCTGGGCAACATGAAGGAGGAGCT